GATCAGCAGCAACATGAAACAGATCAGCAACAACATGAAACAGATCAACAACAACATGGTGTGATTTTTTTTTCACAGTGATTATTCTGGTTAGAGATTCATGAGTCTAACAGCCTCAGGGTAGAAGCTGTTCCTCAGTCTAGTGGTTCTACACTTAATGCTCCTTAACCTCCTTCCTGAGGGGAGCAGGGCAAAAAGTGTGTGTGCTGAATGAGTGGTGTCCTTCATGATGCAGGTGGCCCTCGTCCTGCATCTGGAGGTGTAAATGTCTGTGATGGTGGGGAGACTGACTCCAACAGACTTCTGTGCAGCCTTCACCACTCTCTGCAAAGCTTTTCTTTCTGCAGCTGTGCAGCCTCCATGCCACACGTTGATGTTGGAGCAGAGGATGCTCTCCACTGCACACCTGTAGAAGGAGGTGAGGACTGAGCTTCCCAGCCCAACTCGTCTCAGCCATCTGAGGAAGTAAAGTCTCTGATGAGCTTTCTTGATCAGGCTGGTGGTGTTGTTGCCCCAGCTGAGGTTGTCATTCAGGTGTACACCCAAGTACTTGTATCTGGAGACCACTTCCACCACAGATCCTCTTATGTTCAGGGGGTTTAGGTGTGTTTGTTCCTTCTGAAGTCTACAATCATCTCCTTTGTCTTCTTCACATTGATGTGAAGGTTATTTTCTTTGCACCAGCTCTCCAGGTGTTCCACCTCCTGCCTGTAGCTGGACTCATCATTGTTTGTGATGCATCCCACCACCACTGTATCATCTGCAAACTTTACAATATGACAGCCTGGATGAGTGGGTGCACAATCATACATGAGTAGAGTGAACAGGAGGGGGCTCAACACACATGCCTGAGGGGAGCCAGTGCTGAGGGTTATGGTGGAGGAGGGAAAGTTGTGGATCCTCACTGACTGCGGTCTGTTTGTTAAGAAGTCTAGTACCCCGTTGCAATATGATGGGCTTATTGTGAGTAGTTTGTCCATAAGGGTTTGGGGGGTCATGGTGTTGAAGGCGGATGTGAAGTCCTCAAAGAGCATACGGACATAAGAGTCCTTCTGCTCCTGGTGGGTGAGAGCAGTGTGGACCACAGAGGAGATGGCATCCTCTGTTGATCGATTCTTGCGGTTTGCATACTTATGACGGTCCTCGTTGATGTTGATGGTTGTTTTGGTTTGGGTCATGACCTGTTTTCGAAGCATTTAGCGACTATGGAGTGAGGGCCACTGGCCGATAGTCATTCAGACCAGTCATTGTAGAGCTCTTTGGGACTGGGATGATGGTGGTGGTCTTCAGGCAGGTGGGAACTGGTGCCAGGGTAAGTGAGGTGTTAAAGATTTCGCCCAGCACCTCGCAGAGCTGATCGGCACATTCTTTCAACACTTTCCTGGGGATGTTGTCTTGGCCGGTTGTCTTGTGAAGGTTTATCCTCCTGAAAGTACTACTTACTTCTGCTGAGGTCACGCTGAGAAGCTCTTCATCCGGTGGTGAGGTGAGTCTGGTGCTGGGTGGTCTGTTCGGGCCTTCAAAGCGTGCGTAAAACTTGTTGAGGGCATCAGGCAGTGATGGGTCTTTAAAGCGTTGTTTGCACCTGCCTTTATACTTTGTTATACACTTAATGCCCCTCCACATGCTCCGTGGGTCTTGTGAGGTGAGCTGACCCTGAGTACTATGTGCATATGTGGCCTTGGCCCTCTTAATACCAGCAACCAGCTCTTTCCTTGTCCTCCTCAGCTCCTGTGAGTTTCCAGACCTGAAGGCAGTGTTCCTGGCTTCCAGCAGGGTGCACACCTCTGCATTCAGCCAAGGTTTTCTGTTCGGGTAACTTTTAATATATCTTATGGTAGAGAGACGTCATTTACTCATGCACCCCAAAACTGAGGATGCGTATTGGTCCAGGTCTCATTCTCCTCCATTTTCAGCAGCATCTCTGAAGACCTCCCTGTCTGTTCGTTCAAAACAATCTCTCATTATGGGGCCACTGTTCTGGATCCACGTTTTAACTTTCTTTTGTACTGGTCTGGAGTGTCTCGGTAGGGGCAGGTAAGCAGGAGCTAGGAAGATTGAGATATGCTCAGATAGTCCTAGGTGGGGGCGGGGTTCAGCTTTGTATGGATCTTTTATGTTCATGTAACCATGGTCCAGCGTGTTGTTTTCACGTGATAGTATGACCACATGCTGGTAAAATCTTGGGAGGCAGTCTTTTAGATTCACGTGATTAAAGTCTCCAGCCACTATGTAAAGAGCTCAGGGTGTTTGCCTTGCAGTGAGCTAAAGAGATCATGAAGTTCCTGCTGAGCTTCGTTAGCATTAGCATCTGGAGCTATTTAAACAACTGTTATGAAAACCACTGTAAAACTCATGGGTTAGATAATGTGGTCGACATTTCACTGTTAGCTGCTCCAAAGCCTTGGAGCAATGACAGCTAATCAGCGTACAGTTTGTGCACCAACTTTTACTCACGTAAATGCACACTCCGCCTCCCCTCATGTTCCCCGTTGGCTCGCTGCAGCAATCCGCTCGAATAAAAAAGTCTGTCATCCATCAGGAAGGCTGAATCCAGCATTTCGCTGGTAATCCATGTTTTTGTGAGGCAAATCATCGCACACTTCATCATCTCTTCTGAGACGCCCGCTCTCAGAGTTTTCCAGCTTTAGCATTACTACGTAGTCTCACTAGAACCCCCACCCAGCATCCTCTCTTCTTAAGCCAAGAGCAGTGCTTCCTCTTCTGTTCGTTGGAGCACCTCTGTTGCAGCTTCCATGCAGATGACATTAACATCTCTATTCTGCCGAGCGTAGTTTTGAGTTTGTTTGCTCATCCATCAATCAGATAATTGTGTGTCATGTCCAATCTTACTTTGAAAAATTACGAAAGAGCGAGTCCACGAAGTAGTGGGGGACTACTGTGTATATATCCCCCCAGCGGGTTTTGGGTCTGCCCTGGGGTTTCTTCTCAGTGGGACATGTCCTGAAAACTTCCAAAGGGAGGCATCCTAATCAGATTCATTCAATTCATTCAACGTTTATTTGTACGTGTTAATCCAATTGAGCCTCGGGGACTCATTTACAAGAGAGACCTGATTTTAACAAAGAGTGATGACAACAATGGACAATAAAGACAACAATAGACAATCATAAAGTATACGTACAAATTGAGATTTTTTTTTAACAAATGAAAACAAAATGATATTTAAAAGAAAATGTAATAAAAAAAATCAAGCTAGATTGTAAGGCGGTGTGCAAAACTAAAAACAAGAACATGTCTGCATTGGTTTTTGCCAAGAACTTAACAGATGTTTGAAGCCACTTAGAGAGCTCAAAGTCGAGAACTTCAGATCTTTTTGCAAGATATTCCATGAAACAGGAGTGGAGTAGGAGAAGGCCCTTTTACCTAGTTCAGTCCTCACTGAGGGAACACTGCAGGTAATAATGTCCTGAGAGTGCACGCTGTAGCTGCACTCACGCAGTGACATGTAGGAGATGTATGAAGGCAGCAGACCAAGAAGTGATTTAAAGATGAAAATGTACCAGTGAGAGAGTCTGAATGAAGTTAAAGATGTCCAGTTAACCAGTGAATACAGGGTGCAGTGGTAGGTATGGTAGTTACAGCCAGTTATGAATCTTAGTGCACCATGATTGGCAGCATCCAACATCTGCAGGGTGCTTGTAGGAGCGTTCATGTAAATAATATCACCGTAGTCAATGGAGGGAAGGAAAGTAGCAGTTACAAGGTGTTTCCTAGCATTCAGAGTTGAACAGGATCTATTTCTGAAAATGAAACCAATTTAACTTTCAGTTTCCTTACTAGGTTTTCCTCGTGGAGCCCAATCAACCGCACAAAAAGACTCAAAGACAGTTATTACCCACAAGCTGTCAGATTACTGAACTCTTGATAATATTACTGGCACTGAACTATTGACAATAGCATTGCACTGAGCCACATCTGTGACACCTAATGTTTATTGCTGCTGCACTATGTGGCTGTATCATGTATGTCACTACCATCATAATTCATCTCAATGTTACTCACTACCTGTGCAATAACTTGTCACACAAACTGTGTAAGTTATGTGCAATATACAGTATATCATGTGCATTTAAGCTTATATTACATCCTTGAAACACTTATTTTTACTAATTCATCCTTCTTGCACTGTTCTATTCTACCATGTTGTTGTTGTTGTTTACTATTTTTTCTTTTGGACTTTGTAAATATTATATTTACTCTCACTTTTTTGTACTTTGTTTTGTACCCTTGTTGTATGCTTTAGTATTTCTTGTTTGCTTTTATTGTTTGTTTTTAGCAAGTCAAATCTGTTCTTCTCATCCTGAACATTTAATTGTACTTTTGACCTTGTGTTAACCTTCATATGGCAAATAAACAACACAACCTCAGCTGACTCCTGTTGATGCAGAGGAGCAGCGGCTCTACTCCAAGGCTGAGCCCGGCCACCCTATGAAGCTCATTTCAGCTGCTTGTATCCAGAATCTCGTTCCTTCATCTTCTTGTCCTTCCAAAACTCAATGTTGTTGTTTTGTCAAAAGAAATCTTTAACTCTCCCAATTTGATACGTTAAAGTAATAATCAATTGAGTAAACAATACAAATGTATGGAAGATTGTTTTTACATCAAAAGGGAGAGATTATAGGGACAGAGAATAAAAAATATAATGAAACAAGACTTTTATTTCTTCCACCAACCTGACTGACTTTCAGTCTTGTTCACATGGGTTATTGATTCATTTGGTCTGGATTTTATTTTTTAGTTATTCTAATTAATATTTTAATTAATCTCAACTTCATCAACCATTTTTCAACTTTACATAGAAAATGTATTTAACAAAGAGGTAAGATCTCAGTTTACAGTGCAGTTTTCTGTTTTACTTCATTGAATGAAAATACCAAATTAAAAACGCTGAGTGAATTCTTCACTGTGAGATTTCTGTGCGTCCCTCTGATTGTGAAAAGCACAATAAATCACACCTAGGCCATCTGTATTTTCAGGATCGTTTCTAGCTGGGAGGTCAGCGCCATCGGACACCCGGTGGTTCTGCCGCTGAAGGTGTGCGAGGAGCTGCTGCAGGTGATAGATGACAGCAACGCCACACTTCCTGTCTCAATGCGCTGCATGAGGTCCTACAAGGTGAGGCAGTTTATAATGTTTTCTGAGGCAGCAGGTAATAAAACATTTGGTGTTGTGACAGATTTCTTTGAATCTTTCTGTGTTTTTATTTTGATGATGTGTTGAACGAGCAAAAACATGCTTCAAGTCTTGAACCCTTAAAATAAACTGCATTAGCAGCACAGCAAGCTCTGTTTTAGCTGAAAGCAATCACTTATTCTCTGTTTTGACTAGCTGCACCTTGTTTCCTGTACCTCAGAAGCTCTTGACAATGTTTTCATGCTGCCTTTATTAAGTTGATGAGTTTCTGAGTTTTCAGTTTACAGACTCGCTGTAGGGATCACGTGTTGCCATTTCTTCTGTTTTTCTGCACCTGCAGTTGTGCAAAATATGTCTGTTTACTCCAACTTCCAAAAAAGAATCCTTTGACTGGATAATAGGTGTTCACTCTGCTGACAGTACGTTTCTCCCGGCTGTTTTAAGTAAAGTAACGGGTAATTAGCACAAGTCTTGTTAACCTCCTCCTCAGGAGATTTAGGAAGTAACTCCTACACTTTAAGCAAGTCTCCCAACTACTGAAATGCACAAGAGCTGCACTCGGGCTCTGCATTTTAATTTGGCTGAAATATATTTCACTGTGCAAAAGTTTTAGACCATTCCCAATTACCGTACTTTTTGGCGTACACGTTGCACCGCCATATAAGTCGCATCAATCCAAATATGTCTAATAAAGTGGGAAAAAACATAAATACATCCCTTCGCTGTAAAAGTCGCATCTATTATGTGTCACCGCTGATGCGTCGCGTTTGTTATGCGTCACCTCTGACCACCTGGAAACCTGGGCCAGTGTTGTACCAAAAATCGATGGGCTGCCAAATGGTGGCCGCTGGAGCATAAACGGGAGGACTTTAACAAGTAATTAACTAGATTAACACTTAAAAACAATTATTTGTTTGCTCAAAATTATAGCAAAGGTGTGTCAGTTGAACGTTTCCTTAATAAATGCACTGTAATGGTCAAAATAGCTTTGTTTTGCCTGGGCGGCACGGCGAAATGCAGCTGATTTGACATTTGCTCCAGGAGTTCCAGAGCGAGACGAAGGTGGCTTGTTATGGCAAGCCAAGTGTCTCATTAATAGCCACTTTTACCTATTAATGAGACACTTGGCTTGCCATACTACTCAAGCTCCCTCTAGCAGCTGAAAATGGTAATGATCAATATTTTCCATGTCAAAATGAATGAAATCATCAGATCTCAGCCAAAAACTGGGTTATAAATATTGGGGAAAAAACCAAACAACTCGCTTCGCTTTATAAGTCGCAGGGCATGCTTATTTATGCAAAAAGGTGCGACTTATACAGCAAAAAGTACTGTAAGCTAAATTTCCTATTTGTTAAACTGTTTTTGGTATTTTTCATGGACTGAATAACAATGTGAGGCTTGTTTTTATACACTTATCAGTTCAGCCAATCTCACAGACTCTGAAACATCCTTGAAGCGACAGCTGCACGTTGTTGCCTCACGCAGCTCCTCATCCAGCTTTCTACTAACCCAAACATACAGTATGGTTCATGGGCAGAGTTAGCATTCTCAGCCATAGTAGTTAAAAACCTCCATAACCTTTGACCTAAATTTCCCTAACATAAACTCTCCTTTGGACATGCTGCTGGTATCAGAGTGCCCAAAGTTCTGATTTAAACTTGATTCTTTGCCAAGTTATCTGTTGTCAATGCAACACCGGTTCAGCCCTTGAGTTGTGTTGTTTTTTTAATGCCCGCATGATTCATTGGTCAGAGTTAAGTGACTTAATAATACATAACACAGTCAAGTACTGGACTGAAAATAAGCAAAAATGCAACAAACATTTATTGAACATTTCAGCACAATTTTTATGAGGTTGAGAATCAACGGCAAACAATTCAAGTTTTTTTTATTTTATTTTAACATAAACAATCTGCATTTGCAGCTGCTGCCAGTTTCATCTCTGCGTGCACGTGTGTGAGGTATGTTTGTGAGGTTAAGGTCCAGTGGAGGAGGCACAGTTGTGATGGGCAGCTGATGGTCACTGGTCAACAGATGCTCCACCCCTCAAAGTTTCCTGTCCCCTCTGGATTATTGTTCTAGACTCGTCCTCAACTATTGGCCAGATTCTCTAAACAGATATTTGAGCATTCTTTTTTTGTTGATGGGGTTATAAGGTCAGCTGTCAGTTAGGCTTAGGTGACAGGACAACATCATCCATCAGAGACCGGAGTCCATCAGGCAATAGATTTTTATGGACAATATTTTCAGTTTTATTCTAGCTGGTTCAATCTTGTATTTCTGTCAGGTGTTATATTTGGTTATTTGGTCTGTCGCTAACCTTCCGTCAGGTGTCAATGAATCATGGCCTGGTACATGTAGTACTGAGACTGAGCTGTTACACGTTTGTATGGAGCTGATAATTATTATCATATTTAAGTTCTTATTGTTCAGCATAACAATTTGTTAAATAGATAAACACATTATTGTTATAATGTTGTTGATGAAAGCCCAGTTTGATCCTGGTCAGGGTCATGGGCGTCTGTACAGAGAACATGCAGGGTCATACCTCTGGGGAGTCATGATTGTAAGAGCATGGTTATAAAATGGTGACTCTTTTTTTAGTCTTTTGGTCCTAAATGACAACTGTTGCTTACAAGTTCAGGGTTTGATTTAGCTGAAATACAAATTGATCACCCTGTATTTACACAGTTGCCAGATCATTCAGCAAAAGTTCTGGTTTTAGATTGGAGGTAAGCAGTTTGCTTGTATCTATTAGATTAAGAAATTTAAAAGTCATTACTCTAGACAGATGGTGTTAAATCAGTGGTGTACAGTAAGTAGTTTGTGGAGACATGAATGTGTTAGCCATAACAGAGTTTTTTTCCCCTTCTGGTTAAGTAATGATGGAACGTTTGTTTATTTCAATATGCTCAGCCTTACTAAAAGCAATGCCTTCCATTCAGAAATGTTCACATCCCGTTATAATGAGCAGTATTTGTCTTCTCCGGAGTAACGCGACTGTAATGGGTGAATGGATCAATAGTTTGCTTTACTAAAACAGGAGACTTGCTTCAAATAGTGTGACCCAAACATGGGACAAATCACTTGTCTGATATTAAGAGTTTCAGCAATTATTAAAAAAAAAAGATTTGGTTTGACGCATTTCATTGTGTCATTTTAGTTGAAACATGTTGTGATGTGTCAGTGTGTCAAATGTAATGTGATCAGAGAGCCTCGTAGTGTAACGAGATGATCAGAAAATGTCTTTAAAACACTCAGGAGTCCAGGTTGTCAGAAGAGGACGTAACAAGATGTCTTTGCTGAAGAAAACAGGAAGGAAAACAATAAAAGACCTGAATGCTGGAAGCTTGAGTACTGCTGTACAACTTTTTTTTTTGTATTGCGTTTAAATGTTCTCCTGTCCTGGTTTTTGAGATGTCTGCTCATGTTGAAACTAAACCTGTAATAGCCAGCAAATAAATAACGTGCATTGTCATTATTACCTTGGCTGATAAGCTACGTTAGGCCACCTTCATACTGGATAACAACGTGTTTATGCTCAACATGACATATTAGAACATGGCCGAATGTGGCAGGTTCAGTGTGAAGCTGATTATGATGCGGTTTTTGGACTGGTGTTTTATTGAACATGGTGTCCATTCATGGAAACGCATTGTGAAACAACGATCCATGTGTTACCTTGTGTTAGCAGCATGCTACAACCAAGTGCCAGTAGAAACAAAGGCAGCCATCTATCAGAATCAGAATAAACTTTATTATCATTACACTGAGATACAACAAGAACATGTACGTACAGTCGTCCGAAAGATGGGCGGAGTGCACGAAGCTGCTACTATAACTACTATATACTACTACTACTACTACTACTACTACTACTACTATAATAATTCTTATTCTTATTCAGAGTAATATTTTGCTTAGATGAGAAAAGAGAAGAAAACATGAGGAGAGACGGTATAAAAAAAGATCTCTCACTCCGTGTCTTAGACAGGGCACGATTTGAGGCATCAAAAAAACCTACCACAGCAAAGCAACATAAACAGACGTGATGCATGTACATATATACAGGTCCTTCTCAAAAAATTAGCATATTGTGATAAAGGTCATTATTTTCCATAATGTAATGATAAAAATGAAACTTTCATATATTTCAGATTCATTGCACACCAACTGAAATATTTCAGGTCTTTAATTGTTTTAATACTGATGATTATGGCATACAGCTCATGAAAACCCAAAATGCCTGTCCCAAAAAATTAGCATATTTCATCCCACCAATGAAAGACAAGTGTTTTTAATACAAAAAACGCCAACCTTCAAATAATCATGTTCAGTTATGAACTCAATACTTGGTCGGGAATCCTTTTGCATGAATGACTGCTTCAATGCGGCGTGGCATGGAGGCAATCAGCCTGTGGCACTGCTGAGGTGTTATGGAGGCCCAGGATGCTTCGATAGCGGCCTTAAGCTCATCCAGAGTGTTGGGTCTTGCGTCTCTCAACTTTCTCTTCACAATATCCCACAGGTTCTCTATGGGGTTCAGGTCAGGAGAGTTGGCAGGCCAATTGAGCACAGTAATACCATGGTCAGTAAACCAGTTACCAGTGGTTTTGGCACTGTGAGCAGGTGCCAGGTCGTGCTGAAAAATGAAATCTTCATCTCCATAAAGATTTTCAGCAGATGGAAGCATGAAGTGCTCCAAAATCTCCTGATAGCTAGCTGCATTGACCCTGCCCTTGATAAAACACAGTGGACCAACACCAGCAGCTGACATGGCACCCCAGTGACTGTGGGTGCTTCACACTGGACTTCTGACATTTTGGCATTTCCTTCTCCCCAGTCTTCCTCCAGACGCTGGCACCTTGATTTCTGAATGACATGCAAAATTTGCTTTCATCCGAAAAAAGTACTTTGGACCACTGAGCAACAGTCCAGTGCTGCTTCTCTGTAGCCCAGGTCAGGCACTTCTGCCACTG